GCCGTTAGGATCAACAATATGATATGGAAGTCGTTCTGTTCGTTACGATAGACTAAGAATTCTTTTTTGCGAGGACTGTTTTCTAATCAAATATGAGCCTTTTTTTTTGTGAGAGGATTTGAACTTTATCTGATTCCAGAACAATCGTTCTGTGTTGGCACTATCTGCGGTTTTTTTTTTTATGTTTTGTTTTGTTTTTAATATTTTTTTTCCTTTATCGAAGAAAATGAAAAAAAGGTGACGTTTGATTTCGATCTATTCCAACTACGTATTCTTGGTGTGCATTAAATTGAGATGATCACCCTAGTTCTAATTGGTTGTTGTGGACTTTTTACGTGTTATTACTATTTAATTGCGTCCCGCCTGTGTAAGCTGTATCTTGTGATGCTTTTTTCTGTTATTGCGGGGTCCATTTTTAGATGATGATGTCTGAAGTCATGAATCAATAGCGGTGAGCACACGGACACATCCGTCGTGAAGGAAAACATACCTTCTCTCCTTTTTTTTTTATCTTATTTGAAAAAGTTGGATAAACATCTTGAAAAATCGGGCGATAGTAACATTCAAAAAAATATCTTAAAAGGCATTATATTCAACGCAAAATATTATGATGTGCGCGACACAGAATCATCTTCCGGTGATATTAGGGATTCTAAGCCGATTTAAGAAATGACACATAATTATACGTCAAAATACCTTGTCAGCAAAGCCATACTTAAACTGATATCAAAAGCGATGAAAAACATGTGCTATATAGTATGTTCTGTTGGGAAAGCTCAAATGTTTTAGAAAAACTGAAGCCATGCTTAAGCAATCAGTTAGAGGGTCTGCATAGAGCTAACTGACCACTGTCAACTTTCCAAAAGTTTGGATGAAAATTGTTCTAAAATTTAATTAAAAATTATCAAATGGCGACAATTTTGACTGATCACGGACATTTGCAGATTTACTCCCCTCCCCCACCCCCTCGATCCAGTCAAGCCCTGGGATCCGATTCAAAAGCTGTAGCAGTTGCTATAGTGGGTTTGACCCGAATAATTTTTAATGCATTGAGAATTGACTATCGATTTACTTCCGATTTGTTTTCAGATCATGGAAGAGTCACTAAGAAAGTTTGCGGCGGAAAATTTCAGTCATAGATACTTCCCCGCACTTCACGGCGAAATAGATAAGGTACAACCCCTGACAATGGTGGTACAAAAGAATCGGCCTCTTTGGAAGCGACCTTTCGTAAAATTGGAAGTCATAGTCCTTGCAGAACTGGCGAAATATGTTCAAGGAGAGAAAGAGACTGAAGATTTTCGTGGTTGCTCGAAAAATAAGATCAAAGAGGAAATGCTTATCTCATCGCCGCACGAAACAATTGCCATGGGATTCAGGTATGATCACGCTTTGACCCAATTTCTTCGTGCATGGTGTTGCATCTTAACGAAGTATGTTTAATAAAAAAAATAAGGAAAAATACTGGCAAGAACATCACGAAAGTATACCGGAATTTTTTGTGATTAGTCCTGACTTTCTCGCTGCCTTCAAAACTGTTTTTAACAGACGACGAGTTGAAGCAAGTGAGGTAAAGCTCCCGGTGCCGTGTTGTTCTTTAACATTCACGGGAGGTTTCCCAAAGGTTCATTCTTCGAACGCCTTCAATCATTCTTATAAGGACGATGATAATAACTGGTCTTTATTAAGATGAAAATACACATCAAAAGTTAAAAAAAATTAAATTAAATTCACATTTCAAATGATATAAATGGGGATTCCAGTCGACGTCATGCACATCGGCTTCACCCCTGTCATTGATGTCATCATAATGATCATTGCTATTGTTATCGTCCTCATCACTCTCAATGTTACTTTCATCGTTTACATTCGTCTCCACAATTGAAAATGTCATAACATTTTCATCGTCCACATAATTATCACTGTCGCTGTCTTTATCATTGTGATCGTCATCATCATTGTCGTTTTCGGTGAAGTCGTTACTTTCACCGTCTTTTTCATTGCTATCGTCGACATTTTCGTTGTCACCGTCGGTTTTGATTGTCATCGTCATCATCATTGTCATTATCAATGCCGCGTTATTGTTATTGCCATTGTCTTAGTAAATGTAGTTATCTTCGTCATCATCATTCTCATTTTCATGCACTTTCATTGTTATTGTTGCCATTCTCAAAAATTTACCATCTCTCTTATTTTCTATCTACAAACATTACGTTATCGATATTGCTGATCCTAGCAGTATGTAGGACGCGTGTCACATGAACTTTGTAACAGACTTCGCTCTCCGTGGAGTCTCTGTGGCTCAGTGGTAAAGCACTGGAGCGCGAAATCCGAAGGTCTGAGGCTCGATTCCGAGCGGGGACTCAGAATATTTTCTTCTCGTGACAAGAAGAAAAAAAGAATATTTCTTTATCCTCATTATTTTCATTGACAATTCTATTGTCTCGATCAATGTTATGTTCTTTATCATCAGTCATTTCCTTTGTCACTCTGTTATTAACATCGTCGTTTTCATGTCTTTGACATTGCATTGTGATTGTCAATGTCATTGTCATCCTCTTTGTCTCTGTCACTGTTCTTGCCGTTTTCGTTTCTATTGTAGTGGTCGTGTGGAAGTCACTCTCTCTGTGTCCGTTAGTAAAGGAGCTGTTGTATCATTTTCTGAACGAGGGAAACACACTTCCTCTTTATTTCCCACTGACATAGCTAGCCATATAGCTTAAGTTGTTATCATTTATTCATATCATTTTGAGTTATGTAGAAATTTGTATATATTTTTTTAAATCTAGAGAACAAAACCTTGGTGTGGGTGTTGGAGGAATTTTGGAGGGAAACATCAGATTAAGTAATGATCAAGGAGTTCTGAAACTGGGAAAACTTAGCCAGAAATATATCGATGATCCAGATCTCCGTGGCCTTTTAGCAAAGACCGCAATGGATCCTACCTTGATGAAGAGTTTCGCCGAAGGGGATAAACTGCTTCTTATCACTTCAGTGGTTTACAGTGAGAAGTTTGAATTAACAAGGCAAATAAAAGAAGAGGTAATGGCCACTTTTCTTTAACTCGATAAACAAAACAAACAAAGCAGTTCAACTGAGGTTTACCCTCTCCGCCCTTACCATTTCCATCACTTTCCTTTAAGGTTCAAGCTTGTTTGAAGGAGTTCTCAAGATCAAGAATTTTTCTTAAACTAGTTTTAGCGGGGATGGTAAACATTAACGAACTTAGTTTTTTTAAAACCCTTCTTTACTTCGAGTGAACCTCAGGATTAGAAACGGAACGTTCATTAAATAAATAGGCCGACTTCATTTAGAACTAGATGGACTTTCATGCGAATATAACAGTATTTGAAACTCATGAAATTACCTACCTAGAGGTGATTGGCACTGGTATTCTTTAAGATACTTTTAGATATTATTTCATAACGCTAAATTACGCACCCGAACCCAACAACCCTACATCAAAACTAAATGTTACAGAGATTACATTTTGGCATATGATGTTGTTGCAATATTGAAGACCAATTCAGATCACACGTATATGCAAAAAAACGAAGATTCACAGGGCAGGGTTCTGTGTTTACGCGTGGAAAAGTTTCTGATCCCCAGTTCTGGTAATATTTAGTTGATTTACCCTGCCTCGCTGCTGTCTGACCGAATTTCTGAGAATGAAACATAGAAATTTGCCTACTTATCATAAAACTATCTTATTTACTCACCTTGTATCAGACCGAGGCTGAAGTCAATGTGGATGGGGTGCCTGTGGCAAGTCCGTTTGTCAATTTTTTTAAGACCACGGCAACCAAAATGCATGCCCGCTACAGCAGCTCAACTCAGCATTCAGAGCTGGCATCTAGGACCGCACATGCACCACTCCTCTTCAAGTGTTGCACTGTTGATTACATAAAAGAAGAAAATCGACTGGAAATCAGGAAAGGGGAATACGTTGGTAAAGTAGTTACGAGGGACACAGCAGCCGAGGGTCTTGTGAAGCGTGATGACGAAGATTATGACAACACTTTGGTGGAAATTTTCTCAGACGAGACCGATGCACCAGGTGAGATCTTCAGGTACTTTTTTATGCCACATAACTTGAAAACGGTATTCAAACTCTGAAAATGCAGCAATAAATTTTTGTATACACTGGAGAACAGATCAAATGATAACTGTTCCCGATCTGCTGCAACATTCAGCCGATTTGGACACATTTTTCAAAAAGTTGCATTTTCTTCGACCGTCTATTGGAATAGCGTTAGTGGTAGACTCAATGTCAACACATTATTTAAAATTTAAAAGAATCTAAGAGTTTCAAATTGATCAATATCTAACTAAGTGCTACTTCTTTTCACTCAACCATTTCCTGTTTGACTTTCGAGCCTTTACACCACCAGGATAAAGAGATTTGGACAGTCAGTAAGGCTGCATTTTTTCCTTTTTTGTTCTGGAAACAATGCACGGAATTGAGGGACTTTTATTGTAGACACATGCTACATTAACTATAGGACTACTTGTCTACATCTGCCGGAATTTTACAGACACATACTCGCTAAAACTTGTCCGAAGTTTGCTGCTTTAAAATTAAATGAACTGCCTGTGTCAAACTATTTCACAAAGTTTACGGAGCTGGTGAATAATGATGCAAGTCGGCATTACACACTAACGGAGAAATATAGCTAACAGGAATCGGTTGGGTATAACCGGCACCTAAGTTTCCTTCTTTTCAATCAATCAGCCCCTCTCACTCCGCAAGATGTCAAGAAACTGGACTCGATGCTTCAAAATGTTCTTCTACCTGTGAAGAACATAGACAAACGCAAGGAGCAGATTGGAAAGTATCTTCGTTGGGTAAGTTAGTCTAAGACATCGTTTACGTTTGAATTAAACAACCTCCACATCAATAGTAAACATAACTGTGAAAGAGTAGGTTCTACTGTGTGAATACTATCTCATCGAGAAATGGCTATAACAATAGTGCAATTTGTCCATTTCTAGTGTACAACGGTACGACTTTGAGTGAAACTGTTCGGTGCGTGCACCTGGAAGAATTTACCCCTCAATAACGCTTTTCCTAAATTGTTGTTTTGTTATTATTATTACTGAAATATGCAACAAAGCCTTCGTGAAATTTCCAAGTAACTGCGTTTTTCACTGTGCTTTCACCGTCAAGTTATTTCGAGCAAGAAGTGATTAAGGATCATAGGTTCATACTCTATGATACACGCGTATTTAGCTGGAAACCTTGTCTGCTTGACCACAGTTAAATGGTACTCCCATTTTTTCACCCTAATTAATTTGATAATTTTTTTTTTAGGGGGGGGGGGTTAAAATTGTCTTTACTAACTTTCAACTTATTTGATAACTTGATCTACATAATATATCTAAACAAATGGGCAGCGAAAAAACTCGTGCGAAGTTGAAACAAAGAGTTAGGAAATTTGACTGCAGCTATAGTACTCTCTGTTCTGTCAACACCCTTTTGATAAGAAAAGAAAAGGTATACATATTTAACATATATATAAACGAATGTGGGAGTAGAGTCTACCTTGGTATAAATTGCTCAATGCTGTAGTACCAGAGCTAAGTATACATAAGTTAAAGAATTAATGAGGACGCATCGATCCTCTGCCGAATCGATGCGTCCTCTTTAATTCCTTAACTTATTGTATATATATATATATATATATATATATATATATATATATATATATATATATATATGTTAAATAAATATGCATATGAAATATACACAAATTTAAATACAAAAAGAGTGTTTTTGATGAGAACACATGTTTCACTTATTTCATGTACATTTTCATGTTATCACGTTTTTGAAAATATTTATATTTATGTATTTATTGATTAGACAGTAACTCCTTCAACTGAACTTCCGTTCTGAGAGAAATAGAAAAGTTAAGTAGAGTTTCCCCACCTTACTCTTACATCCCAATTATTATTATTTTTTAAAAGTTTGAAGCAGCAATGGTATCAGAGCAGGATGAGGTCCTAATTCAAGACTCAGTAGCACCGGATGACTGTGAACTTCTTAAACTTGCGTTTCTTTCTGCCTCAGAAGGATCAACTCTGCTGGACATGTCATCCCTCACAAAACCAGATATTCACGGATACGTTGTTGTCCTCAAACACCTTTTAGGTAATTGAGGGCTTCATGATACAGATGTCAATATCAGAATATCTCATTTTTCAAAACATGGAATCCACACAACTCGCAGCGGTCATGCTTTTCATACATTTCTGAAGTGACGTTTAAAATGTCATTATGGTGACTGCGAGATCTAACATGTCGTTTTTGCTTTTATGAAGGTCACTGTTACCCACTAAAACTCGTGTGAAAGGAAAAACACCATTATGAAAATATCTTACTTTAATTTAAAATCATAAGTTGATAAAACATTTCCATGATATGAGTATACGTTCAAGTGATTACCACATTCAGTGCTATCAAATTGTGTTTTGAAATTGTCTTTCACAGTATAGATTGTTGCAAATCGATCTTTGGAGTGACTGAAATAAGACGAATGTAAATTACTCCTCGTGATATGCATGCGCATCTTTTTTTTAAAATCTGAATTAAAAGTGAAGATCATGGGCAATCCGCAAAATTATCGCGCCACACGCTGTCATTAGCGAGGAGACTTGCGACAATTTGCGACAACATTGAATCTTTTCATTAATAAAATGTCGATGGCTATTCTTTCTGAAAGCATTTGTGTTTCTTTTTCCAACAGATTTGACCGATGAAAAGTGGAGAAAATTGGAGCAGTGCAATGCAGAATCTGATTAACCACGACTGTGATAACAATGGCCAATATACTTCTGATACTAAGATAGAAGTTTTCTATTTAAAACGATTAAGGTTTGAGCTGAGCACGTTTGCTAGAAGTAATTTTAATATCAATTTCCGCTTCAATCTTTACCATTATGTAATTTCCACTAGTGAAAAGTTGTCCACGTAAGATCGCTTTGCGATTGAGTGTTGCGAGACCAAAATCAAACTCATCAAAATAGACCAATTAGAACAATGGAAATTTTGCAGCGAGCCAATAAGAACTCACAGTAAGACCACGAATCTTCTTTAAGGGCAGTAATTGGGCTATATTGGATTTAAGTTCTGCTTCCCCCCCTCCCCCCTCCTCCCCGTGTTATAATAAGTAATCTATAGTATGCAAGAGATTTTGTCCAAAATTCGACAATGATTATCCATACCATACGATCTTACGAAAAACCGACGGCTTCGCCGAGGACTTCATCTATGAAAAGTATCTCTGTTTTTCCTGAGAACTTTAAAATACGCAAGATTTTTTTACTTCTTTGCATGAGGGAAGAATACTTTTCCAATTTCTGCACAAAGAATGCTCCATTTCCAATTGGGGAAACGAGAAATTCCTGTATTCCACAGCCTTTTTCAGAGAACAACGAAGTTGGTTGTTCAATCATTTTCCTATTTTCATTGGATAGCAAAAATAAATTAAAATACCCCTCAGCGTCTGCGCATCGTTCTACTTCTTGTCCTACTACTTCTAAATAATTTTTTCTAGTCATCGCCTTCGAAATTTTCGTAAAGTCCCTATCGATGGCTTAAAGACTTGATAGTGTCATTCTAACTCCCTCAGAGACTCAATCCCCCATGTGTAATTCTATAAATTGCATTTCTATTGAAAAGAACCGAATGATGCAGTTATATTTCATGAATTCAGCATCATAAAGTCAGGAGAGAAAATCCAAGTAAAGAAAATTGTGGTCTCTGGTACTATTGGTTGAATAATCCATCAGGCAGAGATTAGAGGAGCTAAGTCAAAAAACGTATTTCAATTTGTTTTTTAATTTAGTGATTTGTCATCCGTTATAATTAATTCTTGCCAACGTCAGTTCAGCATCTTGCTTCTTCGTTTTGTGGTGGACCTTATAGCGAGGACATGTCGCTAGAAAAATTTCACTGCGCTAAGTAACCGAGAAAAATCGTGTAAACTACACACGAAGGCTACATGTGGCGGGGATGTTTAGCTGGGACATCAGGCAAGACGTAATATTAAACGCAGATTCTTCCCACACGCGTAATAGCAAAAATTGTGCCCATGTTTTCCGTGGTGGGTCATATTTACTCTGTGTTTTCATTTGCTTCTCCTTTTATTCCCTACTTTCTTCTTTGAAATGGGATAAGCGTAAGATTCTAGCTAACATACAATGATGTCTGGCCAGTATCTTCGGAGAGATCAGCCAACTGGGTTTTTACATCGATTAAACAGCAAGACTCACCATTTTCTCTTCTTCGAAGCAATGCAGTCATCGCATCTAAAGTATCGCGAATACCTAGCTGTCTAAATTGGAGGACATGTTCCTCCAACATTTACAAAGGACATTTCCCCACTGCATTTTTGTGTGTATGGCGGTATGTGTGGAATTCACGAAATTCTGTCCTTATCTCACGTCCCAGCAACACGCCCCTGCCACATAATGATTAATGCGCACGGCACATCAAGTTAGTCCCCTACATTTTTCAGGATCATGTCCACGTTACAAGATTCCCTGTGTGGGACCACCATCATCTTATCTTTTAGATAATTCTCTAAAGTCACAAAGAATTATTCCAGGGGTTTGAGTAGCCGAAGAAAGACGTCTGGTGGTCACATTAATTCAAATTTAATATCATGATTTAGCGAGTGAGAGCATGACTGGTCTATTTGAAAGGTGATTTTTATGTGGACAGCTTTTCTC